AAATTCCTTGTTTTATCCATTTTTGAATCGGAGCCTTCATAAACTGGCGATCGGGCTCCGTGAGGCGGTACGGTCGGCATCTAAGGGGTTTGTCGTGTTGTAAATCTACTGTGAATTCCACGTATGGACACAATCCAATGTTGTCATCTTCAGAATAGAAGACGTCGGCAAATGTTCCAATAACGGTATAGAGTTGAATTTGCTGTTCCTCTGATAATCCTGTGGATTTTGGAATTAATTGCGTTTGGGGACTAAAACAATTTGGCACTACTGTTGGTAAGGTAACATCATCTAATGGCGGTAATGAGATATCATTTGAAGAAATACAGCTGATACTGTTTTTAGAGGCGTGAATACATTCGTACAGATGAAGTGCAGATGGTGTAGAGATGCATAATGAGCCGTTAGGATCGTAAGTGCATCTGGCTTGAACTTGTTGTTGCCAGTCGAATCCTAGGATTAACGAAAATGGAAGTTGTTTGCAAATTCCAATTTTTGGCATTAGATGATCAATGTTTCCAATCTTAATATTTAAGGATATCCAACCTATGGGCCTTTCGTGATCAACAACTTGGAATTCACCATCGGTCCACGGATGTATGACACAATCAGGTGGAACGCACGATTTCTGAATAACTGTGATATCTGCGCATGGATCACAGAGTGCTTGAACTTCGGTTTGATTGTTAATGGTAGCAGGTATTAAGGCACGTTTTTTTATATCGGTCTTAATGCAGTTTATAGAGTTACAGTCATTAGCTCTTTTAGGCTCTGGTCGTGTCGCTGAATTTCGTTTAGTATTGCGACGTAAATCTGTAAACTTTGGGCCAGTAATGCCATGTGGTGATGAATTATTGGGATTAGTTGTGTTTTCGATATGCTGAGAAGAATCGTTCGTTTGACGGTTCTGAATTTCTTCAAAACGACTCGGGAATTTTTTGGGCGAGCAATTGGTGAACCTTTTTGAGGAGGCGGTAAACTGCACATGAACGATGCGTGACCTCTGGTTCCACATCTCCAACAGGTGATATCGCGAAGATCATCGGTTTCAGGGTTATACTTACGAAGCTGTTCATTATACGCATTAGAAGATATTGGTGTAATTTTCGGTGAAGGGCGTGATCCGTAAGGTTGGCGTGATTTATATTCGTGCTGCATGTTTCGAATTGCATCAAGTGCCATTGCTCTGTCAATTAACTCTTCGACAGTATTAGAGTTCTGTGTAGCTAAGGCAATCTGCCATTTTTCTTCAGTGATGTCACCAATGATCATTGAAATTCGATCTGGCTGTGGGATAGTAAAAGGAGCTTTTTCCAAGAGAGCATCTTTGGCATATATGTAATCAACCAAGCTTTCGTTCCTTTTCAGTTTCCGATCAGCTTGATAAGCTAAAAATTCTTGCATGGTAATACGTCTTTTAAATCTTGATGTAAGGGCAACTTTCCATTCTATCCAATTATTGTAACGGTTACCTTGAGTTAATTGCCAATTTCTAGCAGATCCAGCGAGACGTGAGATAGTATTAGTCAATTTGAGTTCATCAGTCCAGTTTGCCAATGTTGAAATTCTTTCAACTTCTTTTAGCCACTCGAGCGCATTATCAATCATATCACCACGAAATATCGGAATGGAATTTGCCGTGTCATTAGTTGACGTGATTTGAATAGTACTTGGCGAATTTATTTGTCTCTCAATCAACTGTTTTTGAGATTCCATTAGCGTAGTCAGGACTGCGGCAATATTAGGATCCAGTTGCGAAGTAGGTGCAGGAATTTGTGGCGTATTGTTGCGATTATTTAGGGTTTCGACTTGTTTTTGTAACAGTTGGATTTGTTTTAATAATTCTGCGCTGTCAGGAATTATTTTAGCGTCGTCATCTTTGTCACTCGATCGCATCCTAAGAGTAGCGAGTTCGTCTAAATTTCCCTGCTGTTTTCTTTTTATATTATCATCCACGATGCGAGAAATTAAACAGTCTTTGCTTCCAACAAGAGAAAGATTCCGCAAACGTAAATCGGCTTTCAACTGGGCGACAGTAAAGTGTTTTATATCTTCTGACGTTAAAGAGTTCAACTCGTCGTTTATGGTTGTCATAATTCTGAAGCGAAGTTTTCAACTTTCACCGGAAATGCGAATTTATAACAAATGCTCGTGTCGATAGGCGACCGATCTTGGCGAGATCTATTTAGCGTTCTTGGCGAGAAACGACTGAAGAGTGTCAGGCCTACGTAATGGCGAGCAAATTCCAACTTTAAAATTAATTCTTTTTCAATTTAGAATTTACGATATTAGTAATAATCTACTTCTTCGAATTTATAACTTCTATGAATTGATATCTTTTGTTTAATACGTTTGAACAATCTAAACTCTTGATTTTTGCTCGTCGTTAATGGCGACCGTTGAAACGAAGTTCTAAAGGTTTAATATTAACAATTTTGTTAATGAAATGTTCTTTCCACTGTCGACTGCGCCATATAAGGTTTAGATCGGCGTCGAGTGACAACGTTATGAATTAATAAACGAATATAACGCAACTAATTAATGAATAATTTAATATTTGATGCTTACCAACTTTAACTTGTGGCGATAAGAACAAACGACAGAAAACAACATGGCGATCTGCGGCAACATCAGCGCCGCCACTAATTTAAACAAAATGAGGCCTTACAATAAACTAAGAATATGAGTAAAAGTTGCGGCCCGACGTTGTGGCCACGTCACAATAAATAATTGCTTATTATTTTATGCTACGAAATGAGGCAATCTTCATTGACCGAATAAAAAATCTGAAAAACAAAGTTATCTTTTAATTAATGCCGCGATGTAACTAAAATATAAACTTCTTACGATATTTGAAGTTGAGTTGTTCCTTGACCAAGGGAATTTTGTGTAACTATTAAAATAACTTTCAGTAAACAATAATAAATATTAGCCTGTTTGTTCCGCAAATGAGCTACAATTAATTACTATATTTCATTACAAAATAATCTTCGAGTTATCCAAATGTAATTATAATGATAAACAGTCGAGAATAGTTTTTGAGAATCTGCATGGGGATCGAAAAGTCTTTACACACAAGGCGATCGTTCACTTTTATCATTTAGTCACTTTTAAATCACAAAATACGGTTAATTGGTTGGTACGATGAGAGGCAGTAACCCAAAACTTGGGAAGGGAGAGTGTTTCTTGGGAAGACTTTCTATGCCAAACTGGCACTTCTCGTGTTGTTAAAGTAAATAATTTCTGCATTAATTATTTATTTATTTGTTTTCCATTTACTTTTATAAGTAAAATGTATTATAAAATACGTACTTAGACAATTTTTGTACGCGGTTCCACACATAAATCGCGCAGTTTGTTATTTTAAAATTTGTAAAAGAATTACGTTAATGACATATGCCTAATAAATGCATCGATTCGTAATCTTCGTATTACCGAAATACGTCCAATAGTTTGTAAGAAAGTTTTTGTTATCAATATATAATCACTGGATATTATACATAATTATCGTTATTCCTGACTCCAATATTTATAAATGGATTTATTTGAAATCAATTCCGAAGAAACATCATCGTAAAACTCATTCAAAGTTTACTTTTAATAAGAAAAGTTTATTTTTCGAAAAACCATCTTAAAAAGTTACGACGTAATGAATATTTTTCGACAAGATATATCAATTCTCAATACATTTTAAACATCGATCGATTAAATACGGGAGGAACGAGTACAAACCAAAAAATAAGAGAAACGAGGAAAAGAAAAATTACGGGAGAAGAATATGCAATACAGAGAAAAATCAAAAATTGCGCGGTTTTAACTCACGTAAAGAAGAGAAAAACTCAAGGCGTATTGGAAATTATTAAAACGCTTACGTGAAGATTGTAGTAAATGCAATATCTAGGGAAATGACTCGTTAGCTTAGAAGAATTAAAATTCCACGTGGCAAACGTTTTCATTATTTAAGGGCGCGAGTGGATAAACCCGACAAAGAAAATTTTCCAGCTAAGAAAAACGAATTTGCTATTTCTATCGAAATAGAATTTTATGTAAGAAATAATTTATTTAAAATTACGAAAGAGATTTACATAAAGATTGTGTCGTATCCACAAGTAAACATTAATGAATTATGAGAATAAGCGGAAATCTCTGGTTACATAGCAGCGCTGGCTACATATTCGTAGAAGTAACGACAGATACGATATATTTGCGTTAATTCAATTTCTAATCCAATCGATGTTTATCGGTCTCCGATACGAAACTAAAACGTCTTCGCTTTTATATTCGAACAAATTATGCGCTTTGGTAATTATTCGGCGTCGAATATATTAAAAATTTTGCCATATTCGACGGAAGAGTGATTTAGTTATCATTTTAGAGTAACGTTCTTTTAACGATACTACTCAAACAAGAATTGCACGCAATGTACGCAATGCACGCAAATTATTAGAGTACGAAAACGTAGCCCGATCAGTAGCTTACCGGAAACAGAATATTACGATAATAAACGGAAGCCAACTGCCAAATTACCGTGGTAAAAGGTATCGAAAGCCATCTCCCTTGGCATTAAATTGTTTCAGAAGTTAATTTTGTGGCATTATTCGTTTTTCGTAAAATTTCGTTTATTGCAGTAAATTTAATTGAATTTTTTATTTTAATAAAAATTCCATAAAATTGATACGTATTCATACGAGAACGGAAGGAAATAACAACAAATTTAATTAATACTTTTAAGAATGAGAGTACGTTGAACGTAAACGGTGCGAAATAATTTTCTGTGGTCATTTTTTAAGAAATTGATAAATTGGATTAGCGAGTAATCTAATTTAAAAAGAGAGAAGAGAATAGGAAATTTGTCATTACCTTAAAAATCAATAAATGTTGGAAATTATAATCAATCATTCTCTTGCTGTTGCATCGCACGATAATCTATAGGCCTATAGTCTTTATAGCGGCTCGGCATTATCGAAGGTCGATCGTATCTACGCCTTCTCTTTCACAAAATGGCAGATATGAACGCTTCCAAGATTGTTCTGAGGGTAGCGACTTCGGAAGTCAGTAACGTACTTCTTTCATTTCAAGTAATTGTTAATTAAAATTGCTATTTTACCAGCTGTATTTTGTTTTTAGTGGCAACCTTGGACGGTGGTTAATTATCAGCCAGGGGGAGAAGTCACCTTAGACGGAGGACTAATGAAGAAAATTCTAGCAATTTTATCCGAATACGCAAATTTTGAGTAAGTCGACGTTCTTTAACTCATTACTTAACTACTTATTCTTTAATATTTGACGTCTTTAGATACGTTATGGTTTCACCCCACGATAGACAGTGGGGAACTCCTTTGCCAAACGGAAGCTTCACGGGGATTATCGGTATGCTGGAGAAAAATGTGAGTTTGTACGAAATAAATTTGAGTATTTTTAATATTAAATTAATATTTTCAAAAAAATTTGATAGTTCTTACGTCACTCTTTAAATTCGAAACGAGTACAACTAAACTAGACACAATTCGTTTTCTGTTAGAACACTAACTAAGAATTAAGTCGAAGCGCTAGAAAGTCATAATACCTGTATTTTTTCAGGTTCTTCTGCCACCGTCACTTGCCGATGGCATAAAAAGAACGAAAAGAATTGTTTCGTTGGTGTTAGTGACCTCGGACGTTGTCGCTTTGATCCGTCGAATCTCGAAAACCAAATTGCAGATCCTCGATTTTTGTTATATTTTTAATTTTCACGTCTCGCATTATGCGAAATGACAAACTTTAATCAAAATCGAACCATCAAATTTGACAACGAACTCGATTCCATAAGCCACGTAAAAGAGTTTCGCTTACGCTCCGCCGCAATAAAATAGCTTTATAAATATTTTATATTTGCATTAAAATAATTGTAAAATGCAAACAAAAATTGCCAAGAACTAATCTTATAATCGATACGAGTTGATAATAATAATAAACGCAAAGCCCAAACGGTGTAGACTCGAAAGTTTTCGATACAACTTACTACGCAGTTAAGACGTATCACGAGAAAGTACACTAAGCAGGAATTTTTCGAAATTCCCACCCGCGGTGGGAGAGAGAGAGGTAAGAATTACCCCGAAGAACTCGGCTTCTACCGCGCTATTTTAGACGCGTTTTCCGTTTTTGCGGGAAATGGAACATATTTTTAAACCTGTCTAAAATTCTCTAATTAGCCTCCAAAGAGGTGGACCTAATTCTCGCACCCGGCGAAAACGAGTAAGATCGGCAATATAGGTAAAAAGATTTTCTCACCCGAGGGTTTATCGCACCGAGTGTATAATCTAATACATTTTAAAAATTCTTTATTCCTCCACTGTACACAATTTAAAGAACTTTTAAATGTGTTAGATTAGGCACGCGGTGTGATAATCCTGTACGTAATATAACCGCTGTATCCGCTAGTATAATATATTTAAAAATGAGTGACTAAAAATAGAAAAACTTTTAGCGTTCTATTTGTATCATCGTCGTCATCCTCGCTCCACACTCTACTTGCAGTAAACTGCAAAATACTTGATGATGATGATGTAAAACTTTTGTATTAAGGGATACGTCTAGTTAAAAGGTCACTCCCTTACAATTACATTTGTCTATTGCTTTTCTCTTCCGTATTAACTCGAGAAATCTAATTTTACATTTCTCAAGTCTTTTCTTGTCTCTCGATAACTACTCAAGAATTTTTATATTTACTGATTATAGTTTCTTTACTAATGCGACTTTTCTTTTCATACGAATAAGACTAAAATTCTGGAGTAATCGCTACTGTAAACCCGAAAGGTCTCGAATAATCTCTCCAAGAATTATAATTAAGTCTGAAATTTGCATAAAAAATACTACCGCAAACAATCGCTTAATAATAAAATTCCGTTTCAGGAAGCGGATATCGGTTTGGGTCCTTTCACTCCAACCTATCAACGATCGAGGGTGGCCAGTTTTAGTAAAAGCTTCACTAGAGTATACTTAACTATTTTGGCTGGCGGAAATAACGTAAAGAAACCGAACTTGTTTAGTTACATCTTAACGTTTGGATGGGAGGTAGGTTAAAGACGAGACAATTTCATCAAAGGTGATCAATTATTAAATAAGTATTTAACGCTTTGCAGATATGGCTCTTTCTCTTCATTAGTATGATCGCCTGCATCGTCGTTTCTAGTCTCACGGAATTTTTCCTCGATTTTTCAACAACGAAGATTGGAGCGTTGAAAAAGAAATTAAACGAATATTTCTGGGCTTTCGTCGGAACCATATTTTGCGAAAGTAAGTCTTTAAATGTTAAAATCGTCCTTTTTTCAACAGCCGAAATTCTTTCCTTCTTCAGGTATGCCAATGACTCCCTCGTTCGATTCCACCAGAATAGTGATCGCGGTTTGGTGGTTAGCTGTTATAGTATTAATGAACGGTTTCAGCGGCAACATGAAAGCTAACATGATGCTGAGACCGGAGCACGACAAAATACAATCGATAAAGGAACTGGTCACCAGACCTCACATTCGACCCATCGTCATGAAAGGAACGGCGTACGAAACTTACATCAAGGTAACCGTTCGTTTACCGGCGGACGAAGTTTACAATGGCCTAATTGTCGTACGTCCGTAGACTGCACCCGGCGAAGAGTTTAAGAAATTGTGGGATATGATTCTGGACCACGACGGCCTGCTCTTGCCTTCCGAGATGTTTTCCGTGGAAACCTTGGAAGAAGTTAAGAATGGAGAATCTGTTTACATAGCAGAACCGGTGACTCTGAAGTACTACGTCGGAAAGAACTGCAAGGAGTTTGAAAATGCCTTCTTTTATTTTTCTAGAGAAATCTTTTATCCTCATTATTTCACGGTTTCGTTCCGTAAAGATTTGAGAAAAGACGTCAGAAGAGTTCTCGATACAACGTAAGTAATTCGAATAAATCTTTTTTTTTTTCTGCGCTGTTTTCGATGTTCTATATAAGTCTTTGACATTCGTAAATGATTACGAGCTGTTTAAAAACTATTAAAATCGCTTTCAAAACACAACGATGACGTAACTCGATCCTGTGTGATAATGACGTGATAAAATAACATCAAAAAACGACATTACTTGCCACTTAATAGCCAAGAAAGCTTTTTAATTCAAAATAATACTAGGAAGGAATTTAGTTTATTTATTACGTATCCCTTATTAACCACAACGTGTTTACGGACCACCGATATGTTACAACACAACGTACAGTACCAATAGTAGTAAGGTTGCCTAGATTATTTACATAGAAATCTGCAAGACAGGAATGAGAGTTATACGAAGTACAGAGAAGCTCAGCCTATAAGCCAAAATTCTTTTCTAAGCCACGCGTTATCCTATCAATTAAGTAAGTTATACGTGGGTTAATATCATTTCGCGAAATAGCGTAGAAAGCTTGCGAGTGGCACGTAGGTAAATAAGCGAGCAAATTGCATTCCCTGTTTCACTGGATTGCTTACACTTTATTTATTTTATCAACTACAGTTTTTATACCTATCCATTTGTTTAGAACATAAACTCCTACTTGGCCGTGTATTATCGCTGGCAAAACTAATTAAATTCGTCGATTTCTATTAAAAAAATTGAAACTGATTCATTGAATATTACAAGTACTTTACATTACGTATCGCTTATTATAATCGAAAACAATGTTATCAGTCGTATAGTAATAATATTATTATTATCTAAATCAACACGTCCCAAAACATATAAGTTAAATAACATTACAAAAATTTCACTTGCTTTATCATAATGAAAATTGTTCGTCTCATTCTAATCAAACTTTGTCAACATCCTCGACGATAACTCGAAAAACCGCTTTAATTAACTTTAAAGAGCTCGAATGCTTATTACATTTTTTCTGTAATTTAATTATAATTACGTTAATAATCATAAACTTGAGTTTAATGTGATTGTTAACAACGGCCAATCGACAAAACAGATTATAACAGTTAGAAACCACGTTGTGCCAATAAAAACTTTAGCATCAGCGATTTAAATTAAATCATTCAATTACGTAAGACGTTTACTCTTAATACGTTAAACGTTCGTTTAATCCCACACTCGATGAAGTTTGCGCTTTAAATTTCGACTCGTCACTGGTTAGTTTATTTATAGGCTCGCCGTTTGCCGTAGTCCGAAGATGCGCTCTTCATAACTGTTTCGTTAAAGTACATTACCGTACTTGTATCTCTTAGGAAACGGGAAAAAATAAGAAATGCAATGAATTATCCCTCAGATGCAAACTCAAAATTTTCGAATGCGACGATAATTGAGTCAAAAAGAGTACAAGCAATGTTCCTGCGCAATTAAACATCCAGTTATGTGCAAGATTTTGAAAACAGTAAACATCGAAATGTTGTGTTGGCAGGAAAAATAAAAACCCGGTTCGCAGACGAAATCGAATCGGAAAAAATGTGATCTTTGAAGTTTTAATTTATTAATTTTGGTGAAAAAATTATTAAAATGGTCCACCCATTAGTGTATCGTAAAACAGAAGTCTGCGTAAGCCGAATTAACAATAAAAACAGATTTGACAAAAAATTATTCATGAATATTCACCAAGAAACATTTTTAATTCTGACGAAATAGCGATCGATTTTTGTAAAATATCCGATAAATACGTTTAAATATTAAAACGCAAAAGAATTTAAATCACTAAAGGAACGCATTACCACCCACAAAGTGCTAAAGGCGCGTGATAAGCAATGTAGAATTTGTAGTGTCTCTTAAAGAAATAAAATCAGAAAAATGTCTCTGTTTTTATTACAGAATAATTATATAAATAATTCGCGTGGTTGGTTAATATAAATGTTCTTATTAAAACTAGCGCCGATCATGCATTATATTCGATCAAAGGGTTCTTTTGGTTGCGTGGCACGTGCCCTCTTGCCGGAGCAACTCCTTATTAGACAGCAACGAACCGCCACCGAGTATTACAGTTCTTTTTAACTAGACGGAAACGATTGCTCCTAGTGTTTGCGAGAAGTAAAATCTTACATATTTTAACGGTCTGAAATATTAGCCGGTGTGAATTACTGTTCAAATGAAAATAGGAAATATAGACAATAGTCAATGTCAAACCGATATGACCTATTGCTAAAATAATTTTTCCATTTGATGCATTGCATTTTTTGGCAATGTCGTGGGATCAAATGTCTGAGAAAACTTTGTTTTTAGTCTGTTGAAGAAGAGATCATAAATAATACTCCAGCAGATATGCCAAACGATAATTTTAAAACTAGTCGGCAATTCACAAGAAATTTTCAGTGTCCGCTACGGCGACTTCTTCCAAAAATATGCCAAATTGTTGCCAAGAAAGGCTCCGGGGAATTTCAGATGGAATCGAAGAAACTCAACACTAAGATAGTGTAGATTCTCCAATAATTACCCGGATGAAAAACTGCGAGTACGGAGTACAGTATACGTGTTGAATTTCGTAAACATCATAAATACCAGCGTTTTATTAATAAACTAGCCTATGAGTCCATGGAAAAAATAACAACAGCAAAGATTACGATTATTATATTATTTAGTACTTTCAACCCTTCTATTAGTATTCGATTTGTATTTACAAAGGTTGTCTTTCGTAAGAGTTTATCACACCGAGTGATCAACCTAACACATTTTAAAAGTTTTCTTCCTGTACTGTTCACAATTTAAAAAATGTTTAAATTCTGTTAGATTGGTCACTCGGTGTGATGAACCTTTACCTAAGATAACCTTTGTAAATAAAAATCGAATACTATAATATAACGAACATTAAAATGAAAACCATATACAAAGTTTGGTTATTTCAGCCATCTATTGTCACGTTTATCTCAATACTCGGATGGTACGAAATGGCACAATTTCATTGGTCAAATGGACACCAATTGAAAATACGATAACTGTACCATTCACAGTAGAATATCAAATGGTAATCTGCCAGCCAATCAAATTTCGCGAAAAACGAGCCAAATATTTAAAATCGGCACTCTCGAAAACCACTTAAATCATATTTTGTGCTGGCAGATAATCTTGTATTATCTAACTTTCCTATTTGAATGTCATCATACGGCTAGTCCGATAGAAAGAAGGGACTATCGACTATTCAATTTACCAGACAATTTTGAACGAGTAAATATCGCCGTGATAATAAATAGAAATATGAACATCGACACACGAAAAGACTTCCAGCTTTACTCTGTGCCTTAAAATCATTGCACCGACATTAATTTGGCTAAACGGTAAAACATCTTAAGCGATGTTAGTGAAAGAAATTGGGGCAATGGGTTTATGAGTTAATAAAGGGAGATGAAATCAGGAGAGGGGGTGTCCAAATTTCCTGGTAATTAAGCATATTAGAATTTGTTTGGTTTATTCGGTTACGGCAACGCGACACGTGAGCGATCTGTCGAGGGGATGCGGAAAGATTTTTATATAAAGATGATTACAATTTAGGTGTTACAAACGCGAAGAAAACCCACAAAACACTACGCGGCCGGTATGTTGGCCATACGCGAACCCACCACCGACTACCCGTGTTGGGTGGTTTTATCCACTCGGTTACTGCAGGATGCTTATTGGGCTGCAATTTGAAGACTTGTAGACCAGTGTTCCGCAACCGGTGTGCCGCAACAGGTTTCACGTCACACGGTGAAAGTATAGTTGCCACCTTTTCAAAATCGCTGACCCGGAGGGCAAATGAGGTTTGTTCGAACAGAAGTTCCTGACGCATGCGCAATATCATTTTGCTATGCGAAGAATAATTTGCAGTGCATACCGGTTCTAAATCAGTTACAGTTAGCGACTAGGGAGACTTGGATAGGAGTAACGCAAGTGACCTAGCTCTATTGGATATTGGAGGTGTATTTGATTACGAATGAATCGTACAAGCGAAAAAAAGCAGCACTTCGCCTATGCCAACGACTACCACACTAGTAATTCCGGTACATGGGGGAAGAAATATATGCGACAGTTTGCATATAATTTTGTACATATTCATTTCAACTTGCATGGGAATTTATAGGTCTGCAGTGTTCCGCAACCTTTTTCTACTCGCGGCGCACCTGTGACTCGACGTGACTCGTGACGTAAATTTTTTCACAATACGTGTGAAAAAATTTACACGTTTCGGGCTTTTAAGCCCCTCTTCAGCCAACTAAAACATTAAAAGAGGATATAACATACATATAGAAAAATACACAATACGTTATTATGAGAAATATTAATTAACCCCGGAGCCCGGAGATAACTCACTCAATCCCGGAGTCTCCGGGTCAAACCCGGACAGGTGGCAACCCTAGGTGAAAGGTGTGACGTGAACTTATATATTCTATTGCAAGTTTTATTTATATATTTTTATCGCAGTTGTTGTGTTTCTTATGCTTGTATTTCATTCACTGATGAAATAAGATGATGTTACACCAATAAACAATTATGTCGTCCTAGTACTCACTTATTATTTTGGAGGTATACATTGGACTCACACAGATCTCGAGCAACTACAAATGAAAACAAAATCAACACTTACTAATTATAAAAAATATCATCCTAAATTTGCCATAGAAAGATTAACCCTTTCACGTAAAGATGGCGGACGTGGTCTGATCGACATACTTAATCTCCACTACAAATAAATACAGACATTGCGAGAGTTTTTCTACAAAAAAACAATAATCATCACAGTTACATAAAGCAGTAACTCTAGCAGACTTAAATAATACACCATTAAATTTACATTCACAACATATAAATAGCATAGACACCATTAAGCAATCATGGATGCGAAAGGCACTTCCAAGGTAGGCATCCTTACGACCTGGCCCAGGATTTTGTTGACAAAACTGCGTCAAACGACTGGTTAGATCGGGGATGCCTCTTCAGAGAAACGGAAGGATTTACGATTGCCATACAAGATCAGGTCATAAATACTAAAAACTACAGAAAACACATACTCAAAGATATAACAATCACAAACGACATAAGCAGAAAATGTCACATCATGCCAGAAACTAAAGAACACATCACTTCCGGTTGCAAGCTCTTGGCACAGACAGATAATTTATACAGACATAATCAAGTAGCAAATACATCAAGAGCTTGCAAAGAAACACAAGTTATTAGACATTCACGAACCATACTACAAGTACAAATACGTTCAACAGACAGTATTGGAAAACAACACGCACAAAATGTACTACGACAGAACCGTAATCACAGATAGAACAATTTACCACAACGGACCAGACATCACATTCATTGACAAACACAATAAAATCACATACATTATAGACATAGCCATTCCAAACACTCACAATGTACAAAACACATGCACTGAAAAAATTAGCAGGTACACAGAACTCGCCCAGGAAATAAGGCATCTGTGGAGGATGGATAGGGTGCTTATTGTACCTGTTTTTCTCTCTTGTACAGGTATGATACCACACACATTATACAAAAGCCTGGGAACATTACAATTGAATAGAAATACATACACCACACTACAGAAGGCCACTATATTGAATACATGCGATATTCTTAGGAAATTCCTGAATACAGACACTGACACACTTATTTAATTTTTGTCTTATTATGAAGTTGCTACGCTTTGACTCTGGTCTGGCATAGTACGCAGCCATCGGTGTCAGCCGAGTGTAACTCACAAAACTCAACATAATAATAATAGTAGGTTTATGGCATTAATTAATTTTATTAATAATATCATACGTTTTTGAGAGGAATAACATTTTGGTGCGCCGTGTCGAGTCACGTCGAGTCACAGGTGCGCCGCGAGTAGAAAAAGGTTGCGGAACACTGCAGACCTATAAATTCCCAGTCATTCATCCGTCTCTGTCTTTCCTTAATTTCGAGAACGGAGTTAGATACGTACTAATAACAGGAAAAGTACGATGTACGGGAACAAAACACTACTACACTAGTTTATGCTTCTAACACAATAAAGTGCTATAAATTAAGACACTTGGTGGGTTGTCTCATCTTTATTTAGTTGATACGTGTGAAAAAATTTACACGTTTCGGGCTTTTAAGCCCCTCTTCAGCCAACTAAAACATTAAAAGAGGATATAACATACATATAGAAAAATACACAAGTGTATTTTTCTATATGTATGTTATATCCACTTGTGTATTGTTATATCCACTTGTGTTGTATCCACTGTGTATTGTATGTATGTTAAATACACTTGTGTATTTTTCTATATGTATGTTATATCCTCTTTTAATGTTTTAGTTGGCTGAAGAGGGGCTTAAAAGCCCGAAACGTGTAAATTTTTTCACACGTATGAACTAAATAAAGATGAGACAACCCGCCAAGTGTCTTAATTTATAGCACTTTATTGTGTTAGAAGCATAAATAAATTCAACTAAATAAAGATGAGACAACCCGCCAAGTGTCTTAATTTATAGCACTTTATTGTGTTAGAAGCATAAACGAATTGCAAAGCACGGTTTCATATCATCAAAACAAAAAAACTACTACACTAGTATTATTGTTATTGGTACTATTTAAAAATGTTAAATATTTAAAAAACATAATAAAGTTTTTCGTTAAATTTTTGGTTAAATCGAATAATTTGAAGTAATTAACGTTTCAAGATTTAAAGTTAATTGTTAATCTGCTTTGAAGCGTTGTAAATTTAATACTTTTGTTAACTTTTCGTAGTATGAGAAGAATATTGGAAGGGGAAGATTTCGATGGAAAATTAATGATGAAAATCAATCACGAATTTGGAAAGTGCACCTTTCAGGATGACGCGCAACAAGAAAAGACCCTGAGCATGGAGGACCTTCTTGGCATTTTTGGCCTCTTCTTAATGGGTTTGGGTGCCGCTACCGTCGTCTTCTTAATCGAGTTCAACGCGAAACGTAATAAAACTAAAACGCTCTTAATTCGTAGAAGACACGAATTTTCGCTTAAAGCGATTTTCCGTAATTTCACTCGTACTTTTCGTCGCTAAGTATGCCATTTGCTTTACCATAAATTAAAAATTTATATTATTTCTATAAAAATTACGTACGTAGCCGAAGAAAACAACAATTTCTCTAAATGACAGAGGCGTTACGTAAGCAGGGTTGTATAAACGTAGTTAGCTCTTGGACAAATACAGAAGATAAAGAAATAAAATTATTTCGCAAAATATATTGTATCTTAACAATAATTGGTCGTTGAAATTGAAATACGTATCTTAACACTAATCACCGTCTTCGTAACATGTTATTTAATTAACTAATTGATGGCCACCTGTTGTAAAATTAAGAGTCAAGGAATAATTTACAATCTAAGTTCGTTAATCCGAAATAATTCGTATCCCGCATACTTTAAGAAGTAACGGAATTACGCGGTAATAATCCGGCAGGCTGGTATTTGGTTGGCGCATAGCTTTTGTGTATCGTATAAGTTAGAAAAATAAATATGTTTACACGAATCATCGTGATTTGTGGATGTTGATTTTGTTCGGAAACATCTCCATTCACATTTTTTTCAGGTTTTTATAAAAATTAATCTTATAGTATATTCATACTCAGTGTCGTCTTTAGAGTGATTAAGACGTGCATAAACGGTATACTACACTAGCGCGTGCGCTGGTGCTTAATGTACGCGATATCCGCAACCTACGGATCTCATTTAATTTATGAAATATTGCGGAAACACAAAATATCCGTTAATCCAGAAGAGCGCCGGATAAATAAATTTCTACTGGAATTTTTTAAATCTCTAATGCTTCTTTAATTGAAAAATGTTTTACTTTAAGACAAATATATTAAAAATATTTTTACAAAATTCTTATATTTCTATTTACGAATTATCTTAATTGGTTTCAATAGATAAATATTCGTTAAATCGTATATTTTTTTAATTTAATAAACCGCATCGTTTGAAAAATTTTTTACTAAGAAAATTACCATTTTATTAATAAAATTTACATAAACCGAGAAAAATTAATAATAATAATAATAAGTAATTTTTTTTCCTAATATTTAATGTAATTACAGTACTGTACTTCATTATAATTAATATGTCGAGAAGGCAACAGATGGCAGCACGTGTATTTCATAAATGCAGTCGTGTTTTTTTTCTTCGGTTCCTTTAACTTTTCATTTTCTCCCTTTTTCTTCTTCCCAGAATAAATTTCGAATTTTCAGTTATAGAGTTGAACATAAGATACAATATAATACGAAAACAGTAGCGATTACTATTTTGTCGCGTTACGGCGTATTAGTTCTCGCGTATACTTACAAATTATTTCTTATAAAACTACGTAAAAAGTTTAAATTATTTTATGCTTTAACGGGGCTTTTTTATTTTAAGACTTTTAAATAAAACAATTTTTTTTTATTTAGAAGTTTGAAGAAATTAAGAATTTAAAAAAAAACTCTTTACAATTTAATGTTGTGGCAACACTAAATGTTTATCCGACTCAATTTTGAAAACTGCTAAAAATCTAAATTTATTTCATTTTAAATGTAAAATTAAATAAAACTTTAAAGAAAAGTGCGAGCGACAAAATTTAAAAAGTTGTTTATTATTTATACAAATTTACGCCATCAGATGGCACTTTGCATCGAGGTAAATTCTTTCTACCCGACGAGCTAAGAGGTATTTGATATTTTAATTAAGATTTCGTGTTTTATATTTTCGCTTTTTATTGGTAAAATTAAATTCAACCAAAGTAATATCCAATAAAATTACCCGTAACACGAGATTTTATGAATATTTTAGAAATTTTTTTCCTTTAAATTAATTAAATTAAGATATTGCCGAGTGTCGTTGGCGTGCTTAAAACGAAGTACTTTTGTTGAATTTCAATTGTAAATATTCTAGCTTTGTTTAAACTCTGTACGTCTAGAATAATTTGTATTTCAAGTACATAAATTCATTTAGATAAGTTATATTTACTTTAATTTAGAGGAAGAAACACGAGTCCGCATAACTGAATTGTTTTTAAATAGTTGTAGATGTAAAAATTAGAGACTTCGCTCGATTCTAGAATATCAAATACGGACATATTACTTTCTGGTTTAGGTTAAAATGGGAAGAAAAAAGCCGGTTGCAGTTACTAGCGAAGAACCTTCGCGCGCGGAAAGCGAAGAGGCTCTAGAGGGTAACGCCAACAACGAGGTGCCACCTCAGATGATCCTCAACCAGACCGTGGTCATCTCCAGCGAGAAAGAAAACAAAAAGAAACCTCCGACGAAGCGAAAGAAAGAGGAAAAGGAAAATCCACCCGTCAAAAAGGGGCGAGTCTTGAGAGGAAAAAAGAAGAAGGACGAGGAAGAGGCCGCGGTGATTGGTGCCACTGATAATCTTGCGGCAGAAGCTTCGAACAACCACCTCGCCGGTCCTTCCATTACGGAGGTCAAAAGCGTAGGAACCAATCCAATAGAGAGCATGGAGCTAATCATCCGGTCTCACGAAGAACTGAAGCGGCAGGTTCTCGATTTATCCAACGATATAAAGGATTTTAAGAGCGAAGTTCTCGGCTTGTTACGGGCGTTGATCGACCAGGAGCAGAAAAAGGAAGAAGCGGAAGCTCCACTATCTTGGAATGGATTTAAGAACGGTCTTTCCTAGTGTAAGAGCGAATAATTTTTATGTTACGCGGATGTAAATGAATTAGAATCATCCGTTTGGTAAAACTTTAATAAAATTTTTATTAAAGAAAACTATACAAGTTCTTTATAAGAAAATGTTGCGTACAAAGTACGAATTTATATCATATGTATCAAATAAAATTCAATAATAAAGTTTATATAATATTCTGGCTTGGTTAAATTCGTTTAATTAAACAAAACTAGTTTCAAGCCGCTACTTTTTCCTTCAAGACGTTAACTGGTTGAAGGCAACTTCCGCAACTTCCTTGCTTGTAGACGTATTCCGTATTTGTCTGTAAAGAAATTTCCGGTTATTTACGTAGAACGCTTTATAATATATTTAAACTTTTAGGACAGAAATACTTACCGAACCTCCCATGTCTACCGGCAGCATCGGTTTGTCTACGTAATCGAAAATCTCGTTTCCCGAGACGAACTTTATTCTCTCGACCGCGCTCTTAGAAAGCCAGGTCTTGACGATCTTCCAAGCGGCTAAATTAATTCAAAGAGAATTTGAGTAAATTATAATTTAAAACCTTAACAATTTAAGTATTACGAAATGAATTTACCGTTGAATAACCATGGCATATCGAATACGAGTAGATAACCTGTCGAGAAAGTTAAAATCATTATTTGCTTGAATTTTCATAAAAGAAATTATATTCGTGGCGCTTACCTAAAGTATGTGGATAGTAATTTTTGAAGAGATCGATCATGAACTTGATTACGTCCATATCCTAAAAGAAATGTAGAATAATTTAGTTTACGCGCATTAATTAATTCGGGTTACGTCTCGTACCATTATAATTTTAGTGTGTTAATTGATTGTTAAGTATTGAACAGTTAATGAAGTAGGTAAATTTCAGTTTAATGCCATCGACTTAACCCGTTGCTGGATTATATTGGAAGAATAATATTAAGTATATAATATAGTAAGTAGGGGTTCGATTTAGAGAATTTTCGTAGGTGGGTTACCATTTGTGTTCCATCTCTTAACGCAACGGAGTAATTTGTTCCGTCCATTCGGAGTGCTACCGTACCTTCGACGGTTAGTTGCTCAAAAACACCATCTTACGGTTGGCGGGGCGTAAAGACTTTTAAAAAAGTTCACTTACAAATTACAGTAAACTTCACGTGAGCTCGCTGTATTGTAAAAAACTTAGGCTGATGAAAAGGTCGTCGGGTAATGACTAGATACATTTAAATCGCCCAACGAATTATAGGGTGGAGGTTATTTATGTCTGGTGGCTACAAAACACACACTATAAACTGCATTTTATCCGCTATAAATTATTAAATGAAAGCATATTTCTATAAAAGTAGTAGTATACTTGCCAGATTTGAAAGTCCCGAATCTCTACAATCGTAGATAACCGTAATTCCTTCCCCCTGGTTCATTCGATCTAACTTTTCGACCCAGTAAACCAGGAAACGTCTAACGTCTTCCGCTTCCTCTTCTCGTTTTCTATGCAGTTTCACTTTTACTAAAACTAGGTGTTCAATAATAGAACGTTTAACAAACTATACTTCATTAATCCCAGTGAAAATATTTTTCTAAAAACATACTTATGCTATGTCCTTCTTTATCCTTGTTAAAAGGAATAGTCCCTCCTAATTCGAAGAATTCTGTAGGTAAGTTATCCTCGTGCAGATCTAGGAAATGCCAGAATATTTTAGATATTTATCAACCATTAATTCTGGGATGAGATAAAGTTCGAACGACTCGACTCACCACAGACACCAAACTTTTTCCTCCACTGTAAGGCATCTTTAGCCATTTTTTCTGCTTGTTCCGGAGTATTATCCAAGTGAAGCAGGAATCTCTGACAGTACCAATCATCTTCCTTGAAACGTTCTATGTCTTGAGGGTAGTACAAGTCTGAAATAATATTATTTTAATTATAAAATTTATATTTAAAAAACGGTGCACGACGTTCTCTTTTGATACGTAAAGGAGAAATTACCAACTTAAGGGATGTAATTGCGCCTGTTAAATTTCGATAGTTTCATTTCATTATAAGGGTAAAATGATCTGAAAAATGTCTTCAAATATTATAGTATTTTCTATTAATTGTTAATGTTTTAGCTGCCTCTTTTATTATTATATTCATATGTGATCTATAATTCAACTGCGGTGACTCGCAGATGAATTATACTTCGTTATAGTCATATGATTGGACGAAATTTTGTTTTAAGAAAAATATATGTATTATACATAAGTTTAATAATAATTTTTAAGAAATGGGGCTCGTATGGCACCGTATGACCTGTTAAAAATAAAAACGGGTCCTACGGACTGAAACATTTTGGATATTTGAACACTCCTTACAATGATAATCTACATCATTATCTGGTGTATTTGAACAAATATTTAAACATTACTGTCGAGTGTATCCATATTAGGTCATTCAGCAAACATTATTAAAAATCATATTTATCAGTTTATCTCGAGTGGCTAAACTACTTTATTTTATAATTCACTGATCTTATTTATCATCCGCATCCCCTCCATCGGAACATATACATTCATAAGTATCATGCAGGTGAGTATGAATAATTTTTTATTAGCATGTTATCTTCAGTTAAAAGTCCAATAAAATGTGTATCCATAGGTTTCAAATCTCTCTTTTATCCCTATTTTTCACGACAGTTACTTTTTTAGACTGTTTTAAAGCTTTAAGACCCCTTACTTCACATCTATACCACACAAATAATAGCATACTTTACGTTGTGATCAGTGCATTTCTAAACCGTGCCTGTTGAATTTTTCATTCCTAATTGATTTCCATCCATTCTTACAAGATTTTACTTCCTTTCTGTCATTTTTCGATCTCTTTTACATAATCTCAACTCGTAAATCATTTACTGCGCAATTCTAGTCTTTCAGAACCACCGAATATAACTGGATTGACGAGTGCCACCGTACTTCAATCATTTCCCCGTATTGGCGATAAGTAAAAATTAGCCGGTCCATAATTCAATACGATTGACTTTATCGCTAGACTACCGTCATATTTAAACACGGAAACACTGTTCTGATAGCGGATAACCCGTCATTTCTCTATCAAATACTATGAAAAGCGGCAAACACTTCAAAGTTTATAACATAAATTTATAAGCGCATTAATTATATTATAGTAGCGGTTATACCGTAATGGTTCTTCGATAACTTTATACTGTAGAGGCTTCTAGTTAATAGAATATCAAGTTTAATGCTACGAAAAGTAGAACAGATGTGATTGATAGCCTGGTCTGTGCGTGGGACGTATCAGTCGAGTAATTTCTTTTCTTTTCTAAATTCAGATAAAACTAATTAATTTTCCACACTACGCGGTTTCAAAAGCGAACCACTCGGTATATTTTCTTCCTATGTTTATAAATACACGTTACTTGTATAGCAGCTATCTGTTAAGGTGATTTGAAAAAAAAGGAAAATAAATATACACGTGTATATAAACTGCGAGGTTTTAAAGGTGATTAACCGCTTGAATATTCTGTCTCGTGATATTTTTATTGTATACTAAGTGCCTATTCGTCGTTAATTTTCAAAAACAACAAAGTGACAAACGTATATATTGAATAAAATGCTGCCATTATATACTTGTGGAATGTTAAATCTTAATATTAAAATATCATCTTAACCAGCAGTATTTGTCGGATTTAAGTATTTGTTTCCTTATTTTTAAGGTTTATATAAGATTGTTATCATTAGGCGAGTGTGATATTTATGTGTTGCGTTATGTAGTTAGCCCTCACCGTTCTATAGAAGTATACGTTTCACTAGATAAAACTACTAAAAATTCCGAAAAAATGCTATGTAGAAGTACAGTCATTGTGTTAAAATTATAAAATAGATAGGTCATAGCTTCGACTGTCGGAAATTTTAATAGTATAGACTCGAACGGTATGCCCGAAGCAATACCTGTTTTATAAGAGTATTTTGGGCTGTAGAAAGCGAAATGGGTCGAGCGAGCTGGCTGGCAAGGAATATTATAAAATATCACTAGTGTTTTCGCCGAAAATCTTACTTAGTGATGCGTTATTTTCTATTAATTTTAAGCTCTATAATCTATTTTTAGCGATAGGAACGAAAACGAGATATCCAGAAAGGTTCAAAAACCTGTTTAACACACGCGTGATGACACTGGGACGAGGGAAGGAGATAGAAAAAAGTACGGCGCTAACATACCTGGGTGTTCTTCGTAATCCTTCAACACTTTATTCCTCAATTCCTCCACCTTTGCGGTGTCGATAGTTTTAGATACCGTACCGGGCATTTTTCTCGTATGCTATAACACAGTTAAAACTCCAACGAAAGCTGCGCGACAACTGACAGCTGTAGCCACTCTCGCTGATTATATTCAGTAGGGGGAAAGCGGAACGTCACGTGAACCACGCTCAAGGTCAGTCACGTGACGGTAAGTATTCAGGTTGACGTCGCTTTTTTTCTAACTTTTCATTAGTTTTTCTTACTGAGAAAGAGGCGAAGGTTACTGTGTATTGACCCGAGAAGACTAGATTTGTATTTTGAAATTTATCTTCTACCATACACCTAATTATTGTTTATGTAGACGCAACGACATTATGCGATATATAACTGGGTAATTAAACTAAATTAACGTTTCCTAACAGAAGAAATACGGGCAAAATTGGTGTTTAAATGAGCAAAACTTGTAAAGAAGATTCCAGTTTTCCTCAATGCGCGACCTTGCAAGAACTTTCTATCAATGGGTAATTACGATGAAAATTACGTAATTCCTCTTAATGATATTCAAAATACTCATCTGGGAGGTAAAAAATCAAGGATAGGTGAGAAAATATGGAAGCAAACTGGAAAACAAAGCTATAAATTGATAATTTTAAGAGAATTTTCGTGCCAACGTAAATTTTAATTGTGAGAAAATAAACGAATATTAAAAACGAGGCTTTAGAAAAAAATTTAAGTCTTTTCGCATTGATTTTCGTAATATTTGGCTGGTGCGAAAGCGTGTGGTCACGGTCAAAAGTGCACGAATATGGTGTATCGAGCCTACATGGAACCTTGTTCTCAATTATCATTGCGACTATTTCGTCACAAAAACCCAATCTGGCTCACGTTTGTCTATAAAATATCCTCGAATTTATTTAATATTAAAACCATGAGGAAATTTGTTTCGTTAAAATGACTTTATTTTCGAAGTTAACGCTTATTATACGACAAAGAGATTAATAAAGACTTAAAGAATACTTCATTAAAATAATTTTCCTGGAAAATAAATTTCATCATACAATTGTTATACTCGAGTTACCAGGAAAAATACTCTTATTTTTAATTAAAAAAAAATAATAATCGCCGTATCCGTGGCGATAATATTGATTTAATAAAAAATGTTACCCCACGATTTAACCATTTAATATTAAATTGTAATTGTAGCACTGTAGACAATGCATATAATTAGTGTTATTTTGAAATTAATGTGATCCGTATCGTCCAGATTAGTTTATCGATTCGCTGTTATCTCTTTATTTACGGCTCTATTGTTATACTTTAATTTTTTTAACTAAAATGTGGAAATTTTTTATCGTAGGATACGACATTGTCTTGTAAGAGTATCGATAATAATGTCATTTATACCAGACAATATCATTTTTAATGAACTATAATTACTATATTAAAGATGAAAATCGTGTTTTTTCGTGTGTGAACGTTTTGTTAGTGTTTTACGCATTAAAAATACTAGAACTACACGATTCTAATCAGCGTCACGTCACCCGTTCCAAAATTTATCGAAAAAATATACTCGTATTGTGTTTCAACACAAAAAACTTTAGGCTAGAACTTTTCTTACTTTTTATATTTTTATAAAATATCAGTGTCATTTTGATGACTAATGCGCATTGTAGTAAGAACTTTGTTTTCAAAATATTACTCTGTTCTGACGATTCGATATTTCTCATAGAATGAATCACGCAGCGATAATTTTAATATCACTACACAAACTTTTTACTGTATTACTGCAGCGTTTCGTATAATAAAAAAACTGTTTTGGAGAGTGTGTTGGGGATTTCGAAAGAAATAAAAATATTTAAATCAATGACCTTTTTCTATATATTTTAACTCTTTCGCGTGTAAAGTCACAATAAACTCGGTCACGCTCTTCGTGAATCGGACTTTTTTTTCAACAAACCTCACGTAATTTAACAGGTTGCTGCTTCTATCCGCTACATACACCCAAATTTACAATATTGTCAACAGTACTTCCTGTTCTACTTAATTTTTTCCACGCGAAATTGCTTTTGGATTCATAAATAACTACACAATAATACGAAATAAACCTGTAATTTCCATGTTTTTCTTATAAGGTATCGAACACGTATTTCGAATAACAGTTTATTTTTATATTGTTTTTAAACGGTTTTATTTCATTTTCTAACTATAAAATTGTCCAATAAAGTTAAATTTTAAAGGCGATAACCGTATTTTCGTGGCTGTTAAGCTATTGTAAAGTAGGAAAAAAATCTGTTGAAGTAGGAAAGTTAAGCGCATTCACTTCCTCAAACGTCACTTTTAATGTGTATTGTTCGTCGGACGTCACAATAGCTCTAGTCATACGTTTATGCTAAGTTGTGACAACATAAACACTCGAATGACGGCAGAACTTTTTGTACGTTTTTAAGAAAATAAAGAAATGTTTTAACGATGCTTCGTTATACCCTTATTTCCCACACTTTACGCAGCGTAGTTGTTATATTTTATCCAACACCCGTAGCAAAATTAAACACATATTTGAAAAAATACACAAGTGACTCTGCATTATGTAAACTATTTCGTTGACTATCTTCTATTTTTAACTAACTACATTATCGACAATTCCATCCTGTTTTAAAACATTACATCACCTATTCTATTAATCGACTACATTTTATAAATTATCAAAAAGTTGCTACAATTTCAGATACAAAAGATAATTTTGTCATAAATAACGTCCCCAATTTTCCCGCATAAGAAACGACTTCAATAATTGGAAACGAAACAAAGCAAAATTTAATAATTTATACAATTAAACACGCGTTATAACATAAATAACTAAATCTAGAACGTAAATTTTAATGCGTTTCCCCGTAATTTCCCTACAAATTGAGCAACACGGCGTGATTCATAGCAGTCGACAATAAGGTTTTTTTTATAGAATAAACTGACGTAGCTAAAAATAAAATAGTTTTAAAAAACGTTAATTAAATTTAGGAGAAGTTTCGTCATTTTATATAGCACAGACAACGATGAAAAGTACGGGGATTGGTGCCAGTTGGTCATTTTGAGTCATATTTATCAACTGACCTAAAACAAAAAATTTCATACAACCAGACTTTCTATAATTATCCAACGATTGTATGCAGTTGTTTAGTCAAAAAAAGAATAAAATATTTTATATTGAATTTTATTTTTTATGTCTATTTTTGATTTTCGTGTTTTTATTTCGGGGCGAAGAACTTCTGTAATGTAAACTGTGTTAGCGCTTCGTTCGAACTCGGCAGCTTCGTCACGCTTCATTACGTATAGTTTTACGTCAAATTTTCGTTATTACCTTAATATAAACTTATACCAAGCCGTTAAATTCGATTTACATTCGAATTAAAATTAATTACACATTTAAATGCGCGTATAACAAACCGCTGTACAACTGAGAGTGTCGCGGTGGGGTCTCATTGCCACCCTTTTTTATTTATACCGTTAATTCTATGTCTTTTTATTGTTACTAGATACGGAATTTGTTGTTTGGAGACATTGCTAATTAGGGAATTTTTACATTTACAGGAATTGTTATTTATATTAGCGAGCTTCACCAGACTAGTTTAGAAAACTACTAATACAATACTGCTGGATAGTAACCTTTATAGTGGGCTACTAAGTTTCGCGATACCGTTAATTAATTAGGGAGACGATTAAGCTCGGTGCCGATGCTTAAACGTGTTACTAAACTGCTAAATATCGAACGTAAGCTTTATAGTATTGCTACTTAGACAAATGATGGCTAATTAAGTAAGACTTAAACTTCTCGATACTATTATGTAGGGAAGTTTCGTACAGTTTAGTGCCTTACAGAAGTTAGGAAGCTTCACAGAATTATTGCTAGATGACTTACGAAGTTTTAAAATCATTTTAAGGAAATTCTTGCCATTTCAAACGAAAAAATAATCTCCTGGAAACATTTGTTTAGAGAAATTGAAAATAACCGTTACCAAACCGAATTTACCTTATTAGTGATTTGCATAATTAAGTTTGTTTGCATAACATCGTAGGAAATATTTGTCAATTACTTTAGTCAATTATGCACAGAATTTGTGGCTGGGAATTAACTTTCGAGCTTTAAAATTTAAAAAATCTGTATTACGCGCCGCCATTTCCATAGAACGAACCACAAAAACGATTTCGAATTTGGACTTATTGCGGGTTTAACCGCTTTTTTTTAATAGTTATTTTACGTACCAATGGCTGATTGCGGCTAAGTTGGAGCGATTAAATATTAAATGTTCAAAGGAGAAAATAAAAGTTTCGTAAGTTCATTTGGTCAAGGAATTGCCAAATAACATTTTAAAATGTTTGCCTCTTGCGAGGACGCGTGTTGTAATTTTATATTTATTTATGCGGCAGAGATGTGGAACGATCGAACAATAAATAAAGAAAAATTGAAATTCTTACTAAATTTTAAATCGTCATTGATACAAATTTTCTGAAAAACGTGTTTAACTCTTAGAGTTTTAAAAACCGGTCGGTTCAAACGTTCTTAAAAATAAACGTTAATTAATGTCGAGTCTTTTTGTGTTTTAAACGTAGTTTATTTGTAGTAGGTATGGTAAAAATACTCGTACTTTATGTAGTTTATCGATCAAACCAATGGAATGTATTTTATACGTGGATACAGAATGGGGCAAATGTCAGTGAACCTTTGCGGAGGTTAGCCGACTTTTGGAACACGCCTTAGCGATAACTTAAATGGAAGAATATGTTTTTAAGCAGCTAATGCGCGATTTATTTTCCCGCGGAGTGTACTTATCGTGTACTTTATACGTAATAATTACAAATATAGTACGGAGGAGCCTGGTCGAATCGGTAGTTCGATTACTAATATCTTCTCTTTATCAGTTTCCTACATTTGCTAATTTCATTTTCTGAGAATGTTTCGACATGTCTAACATTTTGTCCTCGGAAATTGACCGGGACACGAGGAAAAAACTCGTCTTTACCCTCACTAATTTATAGATGGGAAGAGAATAAGGCCAGCGTGGTCCCGGCTACCAGTGCCAATTGATTGAAAAAATTCTTATTGTTTTATTTTACTTATTGAATCGATAATAATTAC